GGAAACCCCCAAAATCTGAGTGTGCACCTGATATATCCCAAATATAACTGTGAATATCCCAAATTCAGTGATGGGTCACCCAGCAAGGTGTGAGATATCTCCAGACAATCCTCTGGAAACACTTTAGGAAGAAGGGACCTGGTATGTACTACTGAGCTAAGGCTTTGCCGAGATGGTTTATCCTCCCACCACCTAACAGGAACACATGTTTTTAGGAGGAACATAAAAGAAGGAACATTGAGGACAAGTCAACCTTGCTATGACCTTATTCATATGAGCTCAGGAAAACAGTAATGGAGTCAAAAGGCAATGCAAGGAAAGGAAAGCTGAGGACCAGTGAACACCACACACCTCAGCATAGAGAGTGAAGTATCCCTCTGAGCCATCCTGCCCTGTGATCACCCCGTGCCGACGGTTAATCCCAGCGATCACTGCTCCCTGGAATTCCGTGGGTGCCATCACCTCCACGGCCATGATGGGCTCGATGATCCGCACAGAGGCATTCTCCATAGCTGCAGGGAAGAGTCAACTCATCAAATATCCAAGGACAAGCCTGGTGCAAGGCAAGAGATATAAGACACAGGCACAGGTTGCCCAGGGAGGCTGTGGCTGCCCCAACCCTGGCAGTGTTCACAGCCAGGTTGGATCAAGCCTTGAGCAACCTGTTCTGGTGGGAGGTGTCCCTGCCCAGGGCAGGGGGTTGGGATTGGATGATCTCTAAGCTCCATTCCAACCCCTTATCATTCTATGAGACTAAGATGCTCCTGTACATAACAACAAAGTGGTCTACGGTTATGCCAAGTGTTTCTTACACTAGTGAGGGAAAGCAATTACCAACTACATGGAATTCCGGCTCCTTTGCCTTTTATTCCTGAAAGCACGATCAGAGAACCATTAAGGTAGGAAAAGATGTCCAAGATCATCAAGTCCAACCTTGCTCACTAAACCATATTGTGAAGTGCCACATTCACTCATTGTTTGAACACTTCCAGGGATGGTGACTCCATCACTTCCCTGAGGAGCCTGTTCCAATGCTCCTTCAGTGAAGAAATTTGTCCTAAAAATAATGCTGGGAGGCATGGTTTGACCAA